TTGTGTTTATAAAGCGCACAGTACGTTCACATGGATCATACCATCGTCGATTCAAGTCATCCTGCTTACGATAACTCCCGCTTCCAACACTTCTGTCAACCAATAATTCTCTCTTATTTTCAATTTTTTTCATCCAGCAACATTGTCGAAATCAGTCCATGGCAACGAATATCCAAAAATGTTCAATTTATCTATGCAGGTGTTGGATAGCGTTCATGGAATGCCATTTTAATTAGGATGTAGAGCCCGCTATGAAGTGAGCTATTCAAGGTATTTTTCTTTCGTTTCATCTCTCTCAGCGCAGGATTCTTCCCTTGAGATGGGTTTATCAACGAAGCTCCCAGAGCGTTTTGCAGATACAGATTGCGATTTGAAAGCGCTGTAAGTGCATGATCATGTGTCAGAACTTCAAAAATTGAATGCAGATCAGCTCGCAAAATTCCATCACCCAAATTGATGAGCAATTGAGTTGTTTTATGCTTTGGTTACATTACAATTCCATCCTATTACGATGCCATCCAATTCCTTTCCTAACAAGTATTCTTAACAAGTATTGTAAGTATTTATGTTTTCCATATTCCAAATTGAATCGAGCAAAACGTTATGATTCATGGAGTATGGAGTAGCTCAATTGGGTGATCATAACGGTTCTTTGATTCGCATCGAAAACGGTTCTTTCGGCTAATCGATTGTGTAGGATTATTGGAACAGGTGCAGTGTATTAGTGCAAAATCGCGAGTTGTATTTTCCGGTTTGTGTGTAACTGATTCATATGTGGTGAGCGAAGAGAATGAATTAGTACAAGTGAGTGGGATTGAAGAGGATTAAATTTTGTTCGTACATATCGAGAGCATTTGAGCGGATGCAGAAGATTGCACAGTTACTCTACTCAAAAATCAGAAGCACTTATCGCAGTAGACGGAAAGAATCGAAAGTTTATCCACCAGTTAGAGCAAATATTTACTTAGAGCGAATTTTTTTCGTGGTGGGATAAACCGTTCTCGCAATTTTTGTTTGGTTTTGCTTTTGCAATTATTCAGCTCTGTTGGTGGACTTCACAAACTCCGTTTACATATTAGCTTATCTGTGTGAAGTGCACGGGGAAGAAGATGAAAAGTTGAGGGTTTTGATGAAAGATGAAAATGTTTATTTATGATGATCAAATAGTATTTTCTGTTGGAATTCAAGTTCATTTTGAGTTCCGTTCCGTTCCGTTTTCAAATACATTTTCGACGGTGCTCATCAAATTGCGCAAACGTAATTGAATTGAATTGTCATGATCGTTTGTTTGTGTCAACGAATCAATCAGGCTGGTGCTGTTTACTGAAAACTGGTATGATTGTCCTTTCTGCATTGCTTAACTAATTGAATTTTGTCTATTTCAAATTGTCAATCAATCGCTTTGTAGCCACCATTTAGAGCGCTGAATCTCCCAACATACGTTGGAACATTCAATATCCTCTCTAATCTACCACAAACGAAAAAATTGCCGCATTTGATAAGCTTTGTGAGCGTTCTTCATCGGTTTTTTTTTTTTCAATTATTCTGAAACCACGCCATGCTGAAGTGCTGAATTCTGATTTCTAAACATTGAATCTGTCCTAAAACTTCCATTCTCGCGGAAACACTTTGAGCATTCGTTATGTGCCTCGTTGGACGATCCTTTAATATCGATTGTAAATTCAAACAAGCAATGACTTCATCAAAATAGATGGATTCATTTATGTGATTACAGACTGGATGAGGTTCTTTTATATGATTGCTCATTTGATAATGAAATTGATCCAGTTGCTTTTCACTGAAACATATCATAGCAAAGTATGCAGATGTCTTGAGGAGAGTAAGTAGTATTATGAATGTAGATAAATGACTGCACATCTGTGTACCATTCGCAACATCCACTTGGAATTACTGATCGAGAACCAGACTAATTGTGTTATGCCGTTCGTCATGCCACTATATAAGCTCATCTTTCATTACCCTCTTTCCTGCAATACTAATTGAACCGAGAGTCAATTTTTTGATGAATTTTTGCATATTTCTGTAATTTTTTCTTCAATTAATACCATTCGTATACCATTCAGTTGCATCTTGACTTGATTGTCTGTGTCTGCCTCATCGAAGACCTTTAACTTGTTATTATGACTCTAAATATTTACTGCCAGTAGTAAAATCTTGTTTGTTTCTGTCATGAAAATGTTTTTCTAAAGTGATCTTTCAACAAACTGAACCGAGAAAGGAATGCTTCGCGTTAGAATGAGAACGTATAATGTGACTAAACGAACAGAACAGAATTGAATTTCATTGAAAATGGCATCAAATTGTGCCGAATAGAAATATCTCCATCTTTCATCTGACTAACTGCATTTTGTTCGCCTGACTGATACAACACAAAACAGTAATTCATCATTAAATCATCCATTCGACATTCCAAATCAACGCTATTTTTGGTCTCTAACTAAGCGTACCACCATACAAATAGCAATTCCGAATTGTAATCGTTTCGAATAAATTGAATCAATGGAAACACAATCAATTGGGTGAAATAATTTATGTTCACAGTAGCTGAATTGTAGTGGTTGTGAGAATTTTGTGCTAGTGCACTGTATGAGCGATACATTCGTGGCAACGTGCGTTTATTGTCAAAAAAAAAAAGATGACATTATTGTTTCACAGTTTCTGCCAGCGAAGATATTCGATTTCATTTCTCGAAAGAAACACATTCAATGGCAAAAAATTACTCATCAAACACACTGACTTGTTACGAATGCATTGATTTAAATGTTCACACTACGATTCCTATTGCATGCTTTGATCCTAATCTCCATAAAGCTCATTTGAAGGCAGTCTTGTTCTGCTCTAAATTTGCGCATTTCGAAAGCAATCGTCTCAAGGGAGTTCGTTGAATGATTAGGCAGAGGTAGCGCACATCACGTTTCTGCAAATGAATTGCTGTATTCGTTTGATTTGGTGAAAATTTTTCTGCCCTCCTCTGCAGATGAGCTCATAATCAGCAGTTTTTAAGCGCTGTTTCCAATCTTTCAAAATAATTTGATGATTGAGCAATCTGTTAAAATGCTAAAGAACATCTCGATGGTTGGTAACTGCCAGTTGTAAGTGTGCGGCAAAGTAGTTGCTCGAGGAAACTGTTCTATACTAGGAATGCTTAATTGTTCGTCTTACGTGTTCACTGACTGTTCAAAAGTTAATCTATCGTTGATGTTTTCTGTGAGAGGTTTGCATTTGAGTATGACAGTATGATTATGTATGACAGTATTATATGAAGTATGACAGTATTATGTGGATGCAACTTTACAAATAAAAGGTCATTCAGCGAGTGATCTTACAATTAGGAAAAATGTTGTTTATTCAACAAATCATTCTCGTTCAATTCATGCTGCTTTTTATGCGTTCTCCAACTCGTTTCGTTAAACACACCTCATTCACGTTTGAATGTATACATTCAATTCATTGAAGTTTTCAGAGGAAGAAGAACACATTCATTGCACAAAACAAACGTCCTTAAGTGATGTCGCGCAGATTTCCACCTTTCTCACCAGTCGGTATTCCGAGCCGTTTCTTCGATGACTTCAGAGATTTGGACTTCGATCGTCATTTTGTGCGACCATATTGGACTGAGAAAACGCTAGCCGATGCACACAAATTCGGTGAAGGCGTTGGCGATGTGAGATTTTCTTTCGAATTCTATTAGCTAACTGACTGTTTTAGGGATCGCATGAAAACAGTTATTTTGATTGTGTCATAATATCACGAGACAATTGGTCGAAAAAGCTTACTTGTTCATTTATGATTTTCAGATGCATTCACCATTTGAAATCTAATTTAATAATGAATGTTCTGAACTTTAATAATGAATTTGATTTTGAATATTTGGTGCTTTAGCTAAATGAAGAAAGCATATTCGTCTTTGCTGAGTCAAAAGTTTTACAAAAAGTTCTATTCGAATTGATAGAGCTGCTCTAATTTGTACGACACGTTTCTCAATATGTAATTGAAAGCTGCTCATCATTTGGGGGGAATATGTTTGAAGTGGATTTTTCGCTGTGTACTCGGTTGCAATAATCTGAAAAGAAGCATTTTCAGATAACCGACAACGAAACTGATTTCTCGATCACTTTCGATGTATCGCATTTTGCACCCGAAGAACTGAAGGTGAACATCGACGATAACGTGTTGGTTGTTGAAGGAAAACACGAAGTGAAAACTGATAAATACGGAGATGTGAGTGATTTTGTCCAAAGCCTCATCTACTATTAACTTCTTCTCGTGAAGGCAGGCACAAATCACCAAACCAACGCTTTTTTCCACTGATATTTCCTGCTTACCGGCAACGATTTGACTAGTCGTTTTTTGATTTCAGATTGAGAGACATTTCGTTCGACGCATCAGATTGCCGAAGAACACAAAACC